AAGAGGCAGATGGGATGCACGGGCATTGGTTCTAGCACAGGCTAGGGTAGTATTTGTATTTGTGAGGCTGAAATTTGAGGATGTCAACCCCACATAAACCCCACCTGTCTTCCAGAAACGATGCCTGTTCTGCTTAAGAAACTCAGCCCCCTGACACCTGGCACTGTCCACGGCATAACTGCCTTATTCTTGTTGTTTCAAAATGATTTCCTGATCATGTGACTGGAGACGTGGGATACGAGCCAGTATGGTTGCCTATTGTATGTGACCCCCAACCCCCGGTAGGCCTGGTACGAGTGGTGACCTATTTATCAAATGAAGGGCTCTTTAGTAAAAACCAGATGTTACCCGACCCCCAGCAGGACTCTTTTTCCCATTCAGTGTGAGGAAGGAGCCTAGCATACGTGAGCAGTGGAATTGGCAGTCTTAGGGGTCTTAGCAAAGTGTCCAGAGATCTAAGAACGCTGACCACCATCGCTCCGGATAATGACCACTGAACATTTGGAGTAGATCTTGGTCGGATCGGGTCCTTTAAACCTCAGTAGGATGGGAGGAGTATGCTCTGGACCAGAATCACACCAGCCCCTAAAGGCTAGTTACCCAAGTTATCTCCTGGGCCTTCTCCTGAAAAAGAGGACTATGGGGCAGTGTCCCCACTGTCCCCAGAGTAAAGCATTGCCTTGGAACAGAAAACAGCCACGGATGGTGTGGTGGCATCCCCGGAGAGGGGTGTGTCCTCCTCCTGGCAGTGGGGTCTGCACTGGTTGGGGTAACCTTTCACCGGGGGAGGGGAGGCTCAAGCTGCTCTCTCATTGGCCTATTTAGGAAGTGTTCATCAAACACTTGCCGTATGCAATGCCAGGATGCTGGGATATGACAACCAAATAGAGCCCTGCCCCTAAGGAACCCCCAATCTACTGGGGGACACACGCAGGGAAGGAGGCTGTTAGCTTTGTGTGTGACGAGGGCTACCACTTAGCCCTTAGAAGGGATACCCAGCAGTGTCTTGGGAGAGCAGGGAAGCCTCCCTGGAGGAGGTGCTGCCGACCTGACCCCAGAAGGGTGGAGAGGAGTTCTTCTGGGAAGGGGGCTGGGTAGAGGCGTTGGAAAGGCTCTTGCTGGTCTAGAGGCTGAGGGTGGGAAGGTGACTGGGGAGGGAGTTGCGGAAGGCCTCGCTGGCAGAGGCCCAGGGGTGCAAGGGCGCATTTGAGGAGCTGCAGAGACGGCCTGTAAAAGCTGCTGGACCCTGGGCGCTGTGTGTGGGAAGGGGCAGGAGGTGGGCAGGAGTGGCTCGGAGGTCCCAGATGTTCCCACTTCAGCCCTGTGGGCAAGTGGGAGCCTGGAAGGATTTCAGCAAAGGAGGGAGGTCTGCGATCAAGCGGGTTTGGGAGGCCGCTCCAGCGACGGAGCTTGGAGGACTGACTCCGGCTGGGGCCCTGAGGATTCGTGAGGAGGGTGGATTTGAGAGGCTTGAGGTGTGGGGCTGGGAAGGCTCCAGGCAGGCATATCCTTAGACTCTGGAGGGCAGCAGGACCACCTGGGCTTGGTAAGCGCAGCCTGCTGGCCCGGCCCCAGAGGCCTGGGTGGTGCCGAGAATTCACATTTCTAACAGGCTGCAGGTGACACTGCCGCTGCTGGACAGGGCCCGGGCTCTGGAACCATGGCTCCAGGCTTCGGGCTCAGGTGACAGGGCGGACCCCTGAGCCATGGAGTTTAGGAAGGCGAGGTCTGGGGGATGCAAAGGCGAGAACAGGAAGTTGCGTGGTTGCCGCTGAAAGCCCGGCTGCCCATCACCCGCGTCACCGCCAGCCGCTCTGCCGCCCGTGATCCTCAGCCCCCATGTCTCACTCCCTTCCAGGTGGCACCTCCCTGAGCTTCCTGGTTTTGGTGACGGGCTGCACATCCGTGGGCAGAATTCCAGAGGCCGAAATCTACAAAATCACCGCCACCGACTTTTACCCACTTCAGGAAGAGGCCAAGGAGGAGGAGCGCCTCACAGCCTTGAGGAAGATCCTCAACTCGGGGGTCTTTTACTTCTCGTGGCCCAGTGATGGGTCTTGCTTCGACCTCACTGTCCGGGCACAGAAGCAGGGCGATGACAGCTCCGAGTGGGGCAACTCCTTCTTCTGGTGAGACCCTGGGGCCCGGGCTCTCGTGCCCCCAGCTTACATGGAGGGCGGGCTCCGATGGGCGCCTGCATCCTTGATCTCCACTTTGCATCATCCCCGGCACGTGGGTCACCTGTGAGAGCTGTGATCTGTGTCCGCTCACTCTCCGCACAATGAGAGGAAAACAAGCCCCACTCCCCACCAGGGGTCAGGGAGGGTGTTCAACATGGTTTAATGCAGACTTAGGAAGGAAAATCTGCTCCATAAGTAAAGAGCATAAGTGCCAGCATCTGCCGGTTTCTCCTAAGTGCCTGGGCCTGTGCTCAGTGCTTCCCTGGCCCCTGGTCCCCTCAGTTCTCCTGGTTATCCACCAGCGTACAGGCATTTACCACCGACATTTATAAAGCACTGTTCTAAGTTCTCTGGGGGTCATAACTCACATAATCCGCATAGTAACCAATGAGGTAGGGTCTGTTATCCTCATTTTACAGGTAGGAGACTGAGGCTTGAATAACAGAGGGAATTTGAACCCAGGCATCTGGCTCCAGATCCCATGCTGTTAATCATGAAACCAAACCAGTTGTATCAACGGCAAAACTGAGTCATCCTGCCAAGGTGGTGTGCAGTAGTGTGATAAGACAGACCTGAAGCCCAGGCAAAAGTGGTTGGGTTTCTGTATGTTTAGGGTCATCTGGGCACTCCTTCAGGGACTAGCTAGGTGTGGATGACCCTATAAATATGTAAATTATCTCCCTTTCTGGGCTCCAGGGGTCATGACCCTCACCAGTCCTGTGAAAGAGCCAGGGGGGTACAGTGATTCACATGCAATGGAACTGTTCCCCTCAGATTTACCAGGAGATGAGAGTCAGAAGCGAAAGTGATGAAAATCCTGCTATAGAAATTGTTCCAATACACCTCACATAATGAGGCATTCCTAGATTCCAGTGGTGGCCTTTGGGGCTACCCCAGTTTCTAGCCCTGAGTCAGGACTGATGAGGCTTCTTTGTGCCCTTTATTTATTCATCCCTCCCTTACCCAAACAGAGGAGGTCATAGGTTTCCATCACCAGATAAGTGTACTTACCTTGGTGCTTGGGACTCCCACAAGTGAGTTCCTGACTCCCATTTGGAGAAAGGGGGTTCACCATATCCTTCCATGTGTCCCCATACTCCCTGACCCACCAAATCTTCTTAGGTTCTCGGGTTTTGTTGAGTTTGGGGGGCAGTAGCATGCTCAAACTTCAAGCGTGTGAATGTCCTGCTGATCTTGTTAAAATGCAGATTTTGACTGAGCAGGGCTGGGCTGGGGCCCGAGACTCGGCATTTCTAGCAAGGAGCCAATGGTGACGCCATTGCTGCTGGTTTGAGGACCACACTCTGAGTAACAGGTCCAGGGGATGGTGTGTCTGTGAATCACTAGTTCCATTTTGCAGGTGTATGTGCCCCTGAAGGCAGCAAAGCTCAGGGACACAGGGGCTGTGGGTTATGAGGGGTCTTTGTTAGGCTGGGGGCTCATTTTCAGCTGGGACTGTCTGATGAGCAGAGGTTAGAGGTCTCAGAGGCTGTAACATTTGTTGGGTGCCTGGAGAATCTGGATTGCCCTTTGTACCTGCTCTTTCCAGGCCTCCTGATGCTGGCTCTGTGGTTGGAGATTTGAGATCCGCAAAGAAGACAAAGCAGAGAATCACAGAGTGAAGGCTGAGAGGGGCTTGGGAAGCGGGAGGCCCCAAGTGGACACTAGACTATCTTGAGCTCTGGAGGGTGCTAGGCTGCTGGGCCATCCCACACTCCAGGGCGTGGTGTTTGGACTCAGGGCGGCACCCATGGAGCTGACCACAGCTGAGTCAGCCCCAGCTTGTGTGGTCACAGGCTTGATGGCCTGAACCCACCATTTGGGGTGCAGTGTTCAAGGTCTGAACCCACATCTGCAGTCAGATGGGGTCAATGCTGAACGTGGCTGGTGTACAGTGGGGTGAAGGCATTTTTCTGGGCTGGTTACTGTTCCCCACCGATCGTTGCTTCCTAGTACCATCCAGTCCTGGAAGGAGACGCAAGCTGTTTTCCTTTGTAGGTTTGGGTTTCTTCCTTCAAGGATATGAGCTGTCCTCCCACGGGGTCAGGCCAGTGTGACTACAAACAGGATTATTTAGAGTTGTCTGTTTGGCAAACGGTTCCTTCTCCTGACCCCTAGTGACTGATGGCAGCCATAGCTGTGTGGCTGGAAGACCCTGGAATATTCTGGAGGCCTTCCCTTGATGCTGATTTCATATGTGGATTACTAAAGATGGTTTATCATCTGAATTTTAGAGAGGGTTTCAGAAGAGGGAAAGGTGTTTTTGTAAAGTAATGCTTCATGCTCATCATTCTTTAGGCAGACCAGCGCCCTGGTGTGAGAGGTCAGGCATGGCCCTGCTCCTAAGGGCGGGGGGTGTCCCTTAGTGCCCACGCGGTCACGTCGGGGAGGCTGGCCTGAGAGCAGGGAGTGGCTGCTTCTTGCCAGTTGGAGAAGCCGCCTGAGACGTCAGAGCTCACGGCACACTTCTCCAGAAAGGAGAGAGCTGCTTAGGGCAGGAATAGTGCTGCCTTTTTTAAACAAATAGGGCATTGTGATCTAGATTAGCTTGCTACCCTGTGGTGGTTCCTGCCTCCTGGGGAGCGTGTTAGGGGCCTCAGAACGGCACTGCTTGGGTCCCCTGGGTGAACCGTGTGGAGCCCGGAAGAAGCCTGAGGCCCGTGCACACCCTCCGAGCCCCACTTCTCAGAGCAACCACTTACCTGCTCGGTAAGCTCCAGTGGGCGCTGGGGAGGCCGAGCGAGTGAGAGATGAGAGCAGGGTGTGGCCATGCACGGGTGCAGCTGTCAAGGTAGGGCCTTCAGCGGGAGAGGCTCGGGGGGGAGAGGACAGACCCCAATCCCCGC